TTTGGGAAAACAAGATTTTGCTGTGTTGATCTGTTCTGACTTAACCCGTTGAGCCTTACTTTGTCACAAAAATATTCACACCCCATGTTCCTTCTCAGGTTATAACGAAGTTTGTACTTTTTCCTTTGCTTTTAGTTTTCTTGAACAGTTAATACTTGGTACTTCTTTCTCATATAATTCACTCCTTGACCCATTTCATGCAGCGTTCAGTATCCTCTTGAAGCTCACTAGTGGCTTTAGAGAAGGTCATTCAGTTGCAATGGAAAGAGTTTAGATTTCAGAGTTAGAATTTAAGGGTTAAGGTATGAGTTTTTGTCACTCTAAATCCCTAGAAAAATTATATGTGTCTTAGATGCTCAAAATGTGTCTAAGGGCCAGTTGTTTTGGATATCACTGAGGTGCTTATAGAAGTGCAGGATTTCAAGTCTCGTGCCAGACCTGCTGACTCAGAGTATTCATGTTACCAAGATGCCACTGAGAAGCACCATTCTATAATTATTTTGGATAAAGAAAGCTCACTTTCCCTGCATGTAAAGCATAGGTAATACTTGCTGTATTTAGTAACCTTCCTGCCAACATCTGACATACCATATGTTTCACCAGTTTATTGTCTGACTCTTCCCACTAGCATATAAACTTTGTAGTAAGAATTACTGTTTTACTGGTATATCTTCTATATCTAGAACAGCACCTGCACATAGTAAACATTTCCATTTTTAAATGGATAAATGAATGCACAGCTTTTCAAACCCTGGCATTTGTGTTGCAGTCTGTATTAGCTACCTTTCTGTTGCTGTGACAAAATACCATGACTAAAGGAAACAGGAAAGAAACAGTTTATTACAATTCCAGAGAGATAACAGTCCATCATGTCAGGGAGGCACTGCAGCAAATGGATCCAAAAGCTGAGTGCTCACATCTTCAACAACAAACACAAAACAGAGAGGGAACTGCAAGCGAGGGGAGGCTATGAACTCTCAAAGCTTGCCCCCAGTGACCTGCTTCCTCCAGCAAAGGCAATACCTCCTAAACCTTCCAAGACCTCCCAAACAGTGCCACTAACTGGAAACAAAGGGTTCAAATACGTGAGCCTATAGGGAACATTTCTCATTCAAATCATCACACAGTCATTTATTAACACTGCTATTCAGATTTGTTTTCATTTAGAGTTATTTTATTAGAAAATGAAAATATAGAACATTTCTATTATTGAAAGTTCTGTTGGACTGACCTACTTTACACTTCCATTTTCCATTTCTATCTACCTTGAATCCAGATTTCTGCAGTATGGTTCTCATCAAAACTGTCAGTAATCCCTAATGCTATATAGAATTAAGTTCAAAGTTCTTAGTGTAAGCCTTAGAAATTTTTAGTTACATGTACTTAAATACGTACATATATACATATATATGGAGAGTCATTTGAGCTTACTGCATACATCTGCTCAATTGTGCAAAGGCCACATGGGATTTGAGAGTCAAGGGAATCCCTTAAAAAAGCTAGTGGTTCTTTGCTGGGCCATATATAACTAACATTTATACCCTTTTGCTGAGGGTCTTATGTCTTCATGATACAATAATAGGCTGTTAATTTGTAAGTGGGATGAAACCAAATCTCAGACCCAATAGCAGTTCTCATTATATTGAAAATTCATTAAAAATCTAGAGTTTAGGATTTATACAGTATTCCATAGTGGATATACTGGGTTTCTTTTTTTTTAAACCAACACTCTATTGTTAGTTATTTTTACTTTTGTTTGCTTTGTAATTGATGATTTCATGTACATTTCTTTCTATCCTAGTTTGCTTTTCATTGCTGTGATAAAATACTGTCCAAGAGGGGTGGAGAGGTGGTTCAGCTGTTAAGAGCACTGGCTGCTCTTAACTGCTCTAACTGACCTGGATTTGAAGATCAGCACCTACATGGCAGCTAACAACCATCCTTAACTCCAGTTCCAAGGGATCCTACATCCTCTGCAGGTATTGTACAACACTCATACACATAAAATAAAAATAAATAAATCAAAAAGAATTTTTCAAATACTGTCTGTGCTGAATAGCTTTAGTGTCAACTTGACACACCTGGGTTGAGGGAGCCTCAACTGGGGAATTGCCTTTATTGGACTGGCCTGTGGCCATGTCTGAGGGGCATCTTCTTGATGAGTGATGTGGGAGGGCCCAGCCCACTGTGGGTGGTGCCACCCCCAGGCAGGTGGGCCTGTGTTGTATAAGAAAGCAGGCTGAGCAGGGGCCAGGGGAGCAAGCCAGTAAGCAGCGTTCCTCCATGGCCTGTGCTCCAGCTGCTGCCTCCAGGTTCCTGCCCTGAGTTCCTACTTTGGGCTCCTGGATGAATTGTGACCCAGGACATGTAAGCTAAGTAAACCCTTTTCTCCCCAAGTAGTAGTGGTCAGAGTATTTTGTGACAGCAATGAAGAACAAACTAGGACACTGTCCAAAAACAGCTTGGGGAAGAAAGGGTTTATTTGGCTTACAGGTCACAGTCCCTCATCCAGGGAAGTCAAGGCAGTAGCAGGAGCTGAAGAAGAGACCATGGAGGAACAAAGCTTACTAGCTTGCTTCCCCTGACTTGCTCAGCTATTTAACACAGCCCAGGCCCACCTGCCTGAGGATGGCACTGCCCACAATAAGGTGGGCCCTCCTACATCAACTAGCAATTAAGAAAATGCCTCACAGTTGGGCATGGTGGCGCACATCATCCCAGCACTTAGGAGGCAGAAGCAGAAGCAGGCAGATCTCTGTGAGATTAAGGCCAGCCTGGTCTATATAGTGAGTTCCAGACCAACTGGAGCTACAGTGAGCTACAGGGACACCTTGTCTCAAAAAAAAAAAAAAGGAAAAGAACAAAAGGCAATCAATGTTTTAAGCCAAACATTGTAGCTCAAACGTGTAATTGCAACATTCAGAAGACTGAGGAATAAGGATTGCTGTGAGTTTGTGGCCAGCCTGGGGTGCCATAGAAAGACGCTGTCTCAAAGACAAAAAAGCAAAAACAAAGCAGTAAAGTCATTTTTTTTTTCAGTTTTAAAAAGGGGATTTAAAAAAGAATAGGATCTCATTTGGTAGCACTGACTGCCCTTTAATTCATTATAATCTTCATACTCCAACCTACTAGCTAGAATACTTTTTTCGGGGGTGGGTCTATGCTGAGGATTGAACCCAGAGATTCATCACATCCCTGGTCCTGGAGCCTTTTAAAAAATATTTGTTTATTATTTAATTTGTGTGTTTTGCCTGCATGCATGTAAGTGTACCCATGTGGGCAATGTTCTTAGAGGCTGGAAGAGGACATAGACAGTTGTTAGCCTACCTGTGGGTGCTGGGAACAAAACCCAGGTCCTCTGCAAGAGCAGCCAGTGCTCTTAATCACTGAGTTGTCTCTCCAGTCCCTAGAATACCTTTTTTTTTTAACTCTTTAATTGAATTTTTGAAAATTTCATACATTTTAATCATATTTAGACCACCCTCCCCTATCTGTACCCCATTACTAACCTCCCCCACCAGATTTTATGTATTATCCTCTATTATATATAAAGGCCTATTGAATACCTTTTTTTTTTTTTTGGTATTTTTGAGACAGAGTCTCCCTGTAGCCCCAGCTGTCCTGGAACTCACTATGTAGACCAGGCTGGCCTTGAACTCACAGAGATCTGCCTGCCTCTGCCTCCCTGAGTGCTGGGATCAAAGGCATGTACCACCACACCCAGCTTGAATACCTTTTTAATAGTATTTTCCTTAACTATTTCATAAATATAAACATACATAAAAGATGAAGATAAGTAAAAATAATTCCTTTATATCTGTACAATCCAGGGTGAGAAATACTTTAACAAATGTCATTTAGTCAGGCATAGTGGTACACACCTATAATCCTAAAACCAGAAGATGAAAGTTGGAGATCAGCTTGGGCAAATCCTGAGTGTCTCCTACCTCAAAAAGAAAAAAAAAAAATCAAACTAGAAAGCCTATCTTTCACAAGGGGATGTAGTGGTCATCGTTTCTGTACTTCATACCCCAATCTTAGCATACATACTGTTTGCTCACCATCAATGCTTGTCGAATAAAGTGGTTGACCAGGTGAGTGACTGAAGTCCTGGACACCTTCGAACGTTATGTGTGTTTGATGGGGAGGGAACGAGGAGGAAGGTACCCAGGAGACCTGGGGCCTTGGGTAACAGCCTCTGGTTCACCCCAAGTGAACCCAGAGTTGAAAATTATGCCTCCAGGGGCATCCGGAGTCTGAGGGGGAGGAGCCTGAGGAAAGTATCCCCGAGAGTGATTGAGGTGGGGTATCTGAGGGAGTACCTGAGTGGGGGTGCTGGAGATGGGAAGAAGGGGGCTGGCTGAAGTGGTAAGCCAAGGGGGACTCCTGAGGAGAGGTGCCCGAGGGGGTATGAGTGTCTGACTGGGTGTTGAGGGGAGCATCTGCTTATTGAATACAATAGTTGATTAAAGACTGAAACCCCCAAGTCCCCGGGGCTGGAGAGATGGCTCAGAGGTTAGGAGCACTGGCTGCTCTTGCGGAGGACCCGGGTTTGAATCCCAGCACTCCCATGGTGACTAACTGGGGATCTGATGCCTTTTTCTGACTTCTGCAGCCATTGCACACACGCGGTGCACTTACATACACACAAAACACACGCATAAAATTAAGATAAACTTAAAAAAAAAAAAATTAAGGCTGAAGTCACGTGGCCGCGTGGCCAGTTAAAGGCAAGAAGGGCACTAAGCATTTGCCTGGGAAGGACACAAAGAGGAAGTGCCTAACGGTGTTGCCCCAAGGAGGGACTTCTAGGGGAGGACCTGAGGGTACCAGAGTGGGTGTTTGGTAGGCCCCAGGAGAAAGAAGTCCCTGAGGGAGTGGCCCAGGGAAATCCCCTGAGGTTGACACCTGAGGCAGCCTAGCCTGAGGGGCGGTGCCTGGGGCGTTGCCTGAAGCGTTGCCTGGGGCGGTGCTTGAGGGCGGTGCCTGTGTTGTTGCCTGGGGCTACACCCCGAGCGGAGCCTGAAGGTTTGTGCCTGGAGCGGTGCCTGATAGCGTCTCCTGGGGCGTTGCCTGGGGGGTCGTCGCCTGAGGGGCTGTGCCCGGGGCGGTGCCTGGGCGTTGCCTGAGGGTCTGTGTCCCGGGCGAGCCTGCGGGGCAGAGCCTGAGGAATGCGGTGCCTGAGGGCGTTGTCTGGGACCCTGCCTGGGGGCGGTGTCTGAGGGGCGTTGCTTGGGTGGGCGGGACAAGTACGTGCGATCCAGGAGGGGCCACCAACTGACAGGTAGTGAGGCGCCAACTTCCCTATACCTCTGGGCGGGAAAAAGTCCTGGGGTTGGAGGCTGTTGGAGGCTGGTTTGCAGCCAGGTCTCCCCTCAAGCAGTTGGGGGAAGGTGCAGCCCTCAGGACTACTTCGCCGCTCCCCCACCCCACCTCCGAGCGGCTGAGGCCTAAGGCCTGGCTACTGACCCACCCGGGCCTAGAACCCCCAGACCCACTGACGAGAAAGTCTTAACTCAGGGGTAGGTGGGGCGGTGCTGCTTTTTACTTTGAGTTTTGTTCAGGTTTTAAGGTTGTTGGGATTGTTGTCTGGAGCCGGCCTTGAGCTCACAGAGCCTCCTGCTTCCCTAGTGCTGGGACTAAAGGTGTGTGGTTTCTTAAGACAAGGTTCCCGTCTGTAGCCCGAGTTGGTCTCACTCACTCTGCCTCTGGACTGCTGGGGTTACAGGAGCCTAGCTTAGCCAGCCTAGCCTAGCCTAACTTCTTTAGAAAGAAAAAAATAATGAATGTTGAATTTTTTTTTTGCCTCCATCTTCAAAAGAAACCTTGAAGTTTATTATTTTTAAAGGAGAAAAGGATCTGTGTAGTCAAACGTGCTCTAGAGTCTACCTCTCATCCCTGAGAGGCAGGCTGGGCTGGTCTATCCTTGCAGAGACTAGTCCAGCATTCTACCACTGAGCTGCACCCACATACAGCGGCCCACAGGAATGTTTTAATGGAACCCTTCTAGAAGGAGAACCATTGGATCGTTTATTACACGGTTAAGTGGCCTAAGAGATATAAGTGTGTATTATAGATGCTTTAATGAGGGTGTGTAAAGGATCCTTAGTCTACTGTGAGAGAATGCTGGAAAAGAAAGTATAGGAGGCCAGGAGGCCCCAACCTGAATGTAGAAATAAAAGATGGCAAGGGACAGCCTGGCCTGAGGATGGAGAGTGAGCAGAACACAAAAGCAGAACCTTGAGGCCAGGACAGGAATTTTGGATTTTGTTCTAAGTGCAGTAGAAGCCCATTGAAGGGATTTTAGAACTGGGACAACATAATTTGGGATGGTTCAAGGCCCAGTTCCAGGCTTAACCAATTTACAGAGAAAAAGCATCAAGTGAAGTGTATGTAAGTGCAAGTGCTCTTAACAACTAACTGAGCCATCTCTCCTGCCCCCCCCAATTTCCTCATTTATAAGTTCCTTCACTAATGGCCACGTGTGACATATCTAAAATCTATCAAATGACAATGTCAACATTTGTACTGCTGTTACTTTTTTTTTCCCCCCTTTGATGAAGAGGCCATGTGTAGCCAGGGATAACCTTTCAAGTGCTGAATTATAGGCATAGGCTATCATGCCTGTTTTTTATGCACTGCTAGGACTTGAACCCAGAGCTTTTGTGCATGCTAAGCAAGCACCCTACCCAGTGAGCGACATTCCCACCTCACAGCTACTACTCTCTGACTCTATTTGTGTCTGATTCAAATTTCACTTTCAGCATTATCACTTTAGTTTCTTGCCTTCGCTTTTATTTTTGATGACCAATTCCCTCTTTCAATCATATATTTCTCTAGAATGTCATGTAGACCTGTCACAAGGAGGCAAGGAATAATATGATTACTCACTTTGTTGTCTGGACTCTGCAGTGACCATTCACTGGGAGACTTTAAAAAGAGTTACATAATGGTTCACTGATCATGACGATACACACCTGTTATTTACATAATGGTTTGAGGACTGGAGAACTAGATGTAATTTCTGCTTTATGTAATTACTCAGTTAATATTCCACAGCAACATGAAATTTGAACTGTTTTCTATAATTACCTAAGCTGTACTATACTGAAATTGGTACATATTAGAACTGTGCAAAGTGAAAACTGCCTATATCTAGAATAATGTTTTCAAGTTGGAAATGGTGGCTCACATCTGTAACACCAGCATTTGGGAGTCTGAGGGGGAGAAATGGTATGGCTCAAGGCCAATCTAGAATGTATAGTGAGTTTCAGGACAAACTGGACTACAGAGTAATAGATATAGCATGATGTTTTCATATATATGAAAGAAAATAGATAAGGATAGTAGATAAGACTTCTGGATGCCTATATTTCTATAAGAATGTGTCAGCCTCAAATAGAGCATATTTAGAAATTGACCCATGCACCAATTTGTTTTCTTTTTTATTTATTTTGTTTTGTTTTGTTTTTGGTCTTTTTGAGACAGGCTGGCCCCGATCTCACAGAGATCTGCCTGCCTCTGCTTCCTGAGTTCTGGGATTAAAGATGACAACCATCACTCTCTACCTGACCTGGTACTTGATACGTAGTCCAGGCTGACCTTGATCTTGTGGTAATCTTTCTGCTTAAGCCATGCACTAATTTAAAAGTATAGTTAAGAGATATTTACACTGTTTGCTTTCTTGGTAAGTACATTAGGCATTTATTTAGATTTCTGGTTCAAGAGTGATTTTAAGCCAGGGTTGGTGAGATGGCTCAGTGGGTAAAAGCACTTGCCAAAAAAGCCTGCCAACCTGAGTTCAATCCCCAAACCTACATGAAGGTAGAAAGAGAACCAACTCCACAAAGTTGTCCTCTGACTTCCACATATGTGTTGTGGTACATACACACTCCTACACACATGCATCATATACACATATAACAATAATAATAATAAAAATTTAAAGAGTATTTTCAGGAGAGATGGCTCAGTGTTTAAGAGCAATTGCTGCTCTTGTCAAGTACCTGAGTTTGGCTCCCAGCGCCCATATGGTGGCTCACAACCATCTGTAACTCCAGTTCCAGGGGATCCAACCCTCTTTTCTGGTAGTTGCAGGTACCAGGTACACATGTGGTGCACACATATACATGTTGGCAAAACATTCATACACATAAAATAAAAATAATCATGTAAGAGTACTTTCAAGCCAGGCCTGCTGATTCAAGCATGTAAGCACAACTATTCCAGAGGCTGAGGCAGGAAGATTACAGTTCAAGGATGCTTGGCCTGCAGAGTGACTTCAAGGCCAGCTTGAGATAATTTAACAAGTTCCTAGTTAAAATAATTTTTCTTTAATTTTTTTAAGAGTTAGGGTTATGGTTCTGTTGTAGAGCTTTTTCCTACCATGTATAAGTCCATGGGCTCAATCCCCAAGAAAGGGGGGGGAAAGGAAAAGAAAATAAGGTATTTTCAACAGATTAATACATTTATCCTTCTTCTTGTAGCCCCAGCTGGCCTGGAACTTACTTCGTAGACCAGGCTGGCCTCTACCTCTTGAGTGCTGGGACTAAAGGCATGTGTCACCACGCCCAGCACATTTATTCATTTATTTTTTTCAGCCATACTTAGCACATAATTAGAACTAAAAGAATATATCATTCAGTGAAAAATGCTGACCTTATAACCCTAAGGGAAAATATCTTTATAGATATTTATTTTGAGGAAAACATCTATCTATGGATTTTCAGATCATTTTTAAAGGTTCTGATTTCAAAGCCCTTTTGAAATTTACCATAGATCTCTTTCTGTTATAGATGCTTTTGTTTGTCCTGAGCTCTTTAGTTAAAAACAGTTGTAGAATCATTTTACATCTTGGAGGTGGTAGCACTTTTAAATCTATCTTTTCTATCATTTTTTTAATCATTGTAATTGTCCTGATTTTCTTTATGAAGTATCTTGACAGAGAAAATGTCATAAAACACATACAATTTAATAATTATGAAGTAAAGACACTTGTTGCCAAAATAAAGATCAAGAAATAGGATTTCACCAACACCCCAGAATGCCTTCCCACTTTGTCCCTTCTAGTCCTAATGCCCTCCTTCCTTTCTATAGAAATCACTGTCCTAATTTTTGTGATAATCATTTTCTTCTTTGTGTGTGTATGAGGTATATGTACACAAATGTGAGGGGGTATACATGCCTATGCACTCACACAGAGGCCAGAAGAGCATGGTGGGTGTTCTGCTGTACCATTCTCCACTATATTCTTTTGAGACAGGGTCTCTCACTGAACCTGGAGCTAGGCTGGTGTCTAGAGAGCCTCAGTGATTCTCCTATCTCCACCTTCACTGGGGCTACAGGCACATGTGCGACCACAATTGGCTTTTACATGGGTTCTGGGACCCTAACTCGGGTCCACTGAGCCACTCTCCAGTTCCTCCTTACTTTTATTCATAGTTTTTACCATGATGTATTAATACCTAAACAGTATAGCTCTTTTTTTATTTTTTAAATCAATGCAGATTGAATCATGCCATATTACATATTATTAAGTAATATTATGTAACATATAACAATATATTAGTACTATGTAATATGTGATATTATTATATATTATGTATTCTTGCTGCTTTTATTCAACACTATATTAGAGTCATCTATGTTGTGGCATATAACTAGTGAATTCATTTTCATCCCTGCTTATGTAAATATACCACAATGTATCCATTTGAATACAGATGGACATTTGTGTTATTTGCAGTTTCAGGTAATTATGAACAAGAATATTGCAGTCATTTTGCTACTTCCTTGATCTGACTTTGTTCATGCATCTTGGTGTATAACATTTTTCACATATATATAATTGTAAACATTAAATCTAAAAAGATTCATAAATTATAATTAGTAAACAGTAATGCAGCAATGTTATTAAATGCAAAATTAATATTAAAAAGTCAATTGTAAGCAGAGGGTGGTGGCACATGTCTGTCATCACAGCACTTGGGAAGTGGAGATCACAGGACTCAAGGCCAGCCTTTGCCACCTAGCAAATTTATGAACAGTTCACGTGATCCTATCTCAAAAAACTGAAAGAAGGGAACTGGAAAGATGGCTCAGCAGTTAAGAGTTTTACTCACAACCACATGTAACTCCAGTTCCAGGGAATTCATCTCCCTCTTCTGGCCTCTGAGGACACTGCACACACACAGTGCACACATAGACAAGCAGATACACATTTTTTAAAAAACTAAGGGGGCTGGAGAAATGGCTTAGCTGTTAAGAGCACTGACTGCTCTTGCAAAGGACCCAGGTTTGATTCCCAGCACCCACATGGCAGCTACAAACTGTCCTTAACTCCAGTTCCAGGGGAATCCTATGCCCTCTTCTGACCTCCGCGGCATTGCACAACACAGGTGCATTCACATACATGCAGGCAATACACTTATACACATAAAATGAAAATAGTAACCAGCATTCTTAACTGCTGAGCCATCTCTCCAGCCATGGCAGCTAACAACTGTCCATAACTCCAGTTCCAGGGGCTCTGATGACCTCTTCTGTCCTTCACGGGCATTGCACGACACAGGTGCACTTACCTACGTGCTGACAGTACACGAATACACATAAAATAAAAATAAATAAAATATTTTTTTAAATCTCAGTGCAGTACTATTCCTGATGTACATAGGGTTGTTAATTTAAAAGCAGAGGCTGTCATTATACTGGTGATTTTTCTTCCAATTCCAAAGGATCCAATGCCCTCTTCTGACCTCCATGGGCATTGCATGACACAGGCACACTGACATACATTCAAGCAATACACTCGTACACATAAAATAAAAATAATAATAAAATATTTTATTAAAAAACTGGGTTGTTATGTAGCCCTGGCCATCTCTCCAACCATACACATTGGATTTTAACAAAGGTTTTTGTGCATTTATAGAAGATTATATAATTTTTTCATTTAGTCTTTTAAATTTTTTGATTTTTTTTTTTTTTTTTTGGTCTTTTTGAGACAGGGTCTCCCTGTAGCCCCAGCTGTCCTGGAACTCACTATGTAGACCAGGCTGGCCTTGAACTCACAGAGATCCGCCTGCCTCTGCCTCCCAAGTGCTGGGATTAAAGGCGTGTGCCACCACACCTGGCTGATTTATTAATTTTTATTTAATGTGTATAAGTATTATGCCTGCATGTGTGTAAGTACATCCATGTTGTACAGTGCCCTCAGAGGACAGAGGAGGGTGTCAGACCCCCTGGAACTGGAGTTGCCAACAGTTGTTAGCCACCATGTGGTTGCTGGGATTCAAACCTGGGTCTTCTGCAAGAACAGCCAGTAATCTTAACTGCTGAGCCATCTCTCCAGCCCCTTATTTAGTCTTTTAATGTGATAAATTATAGTGATTGATAGTTGTAATGTTATATAAACTTATGCTCTCTACTTGTTTTTTGTTCTCTTCTTTTTGGCTTTTTGGTTTATTTTGGGTATTTGTTTGGTTTGGGGGTTTTGGGGGTTTGGTTTGCTTTTGTTTTCCGAGACAAAGGCTTACTCTGTAGCACAGACTGGCTCGGAACTGAGTACTGAGATTAGAGGTGTGAGACATCACACTTAGCTGACCTTATAAATCCAAGTTGGTCATGATGTGTTATTCTTTTTACATGTTTCTAATTTCAATCTTCCTGTCTTTAAAATTTTTACATCCAAGTTCACGAATGAAAAATAACTTTTTCTCCTTTTAAAAATTTTATTTATTTTTATTGTGTGTGTGTTGCCTGTGTTGTGTCTAAGTGCACCCATGTCATGCAATGCCCGTGGAGGCCAGAAAAGGGCATCATATCTCCCAGAACTTGAGTTAGCCAACATGTGGGTGCTGGGACCCAAACCCGGATCTTTTTCAGAAGCAGCCATTGCTCTTAACTGCTGAGTCATCTCCCCAGTTCCTCTTTTTTTTTTTTTTTTTTTTTCAATTAATAAATTTTTTTCTTTGACATTTTTCATACATATATGCATTCTGGTTACTCTTCCTCCTATACCTTTCATTTCCCTTCCACCCCTGCCAGCCCCACATCTTCCTTACAAATTTCTTTCACAATTTACTAGTTTTTGTTTGATTTCATGTTCCACAGAGTTTAACTAGGGTCCTCTAGTTCCTGCATTTGGAACTAGCCACAGCCTGTTGGGCTTGCCAGTGAATATATAACTGGATACTATGCCTCTCCCTACACAGAATCTGTTAGTTACCAATAAATCAGTAATAAACTGTAGGCTCTAGGAGCCTTCCTGGGTCCACAGCTGACTATTAGGAGATCCTAACTTGTGTGGGCTCCATGCTAATAGGCACAAGCTGCTGTGAGTTCATGATTTCCGTGGCCCTGTTAGAGTTAAGAGATGGCATTTTGCAGCCCTTCTCCATATCTTCCAGAACTTAACAATTCTTTCTGCCTCCTCTTCCACAGTGTTCCCTAAGCCTTAAGAGGGTGGTGTAAATGTCTTCTTTACGGCTGACTCCTCAATCATCCTTCATTCTCTGCATCTTATGCAGCCATGGGTCTTCACATTCACTTCTGTTCTCTGCAAGGACAAGCACCTCTGTTTAAGGCTGAGAGTAACCATTGTCTGTGGTTATGAACATAGTTATTTAGAAGGTGGCTTAATGATATATCAGTTCAACTAAGCAGTAGTCTTAGGTGTTCCCCCCCTCCACCAGGGCCCCAAACTCTACAGGCAAAGGTTTTGGACCAGTTTTACAGTATTAGGTATGGGTTCTCTCTTGTAGAACAGGCCTCAAATCCAATCAGAAAGTGGTTAATTACTCCCATAACAGCCATGTCACTACTTTACCAATGGGTACACCTTACCTAGAAGTTGGAATTATAATTCATAGAGTTCGCAACTGAGTAAGACCATTGGTGCCTTTGCACCACCCCCAACCCCCAACATCCTGCATATCATCTTCCAGAAGTAAGAGATAGCCAGCAGGGAGAAGACTTCCAGTTCAGTTTTCTGATTTCTCTATGTCTTTCATCCAAGGTATGTAGTATCTTCACCAATAGAGTCAGTCTTATCATCTAATTCTGGTGGGGAACCAAGAAGAATTACAAGAACTTGTATTATTTTGGGGGCTCCTGGAGCCTCCCTAACTAACAGCTCCTACAGAGTTATCCCACACTTGGCACTGTGAGGAGACTTATAATATGGTGGGAGAGACAGTCATAGAAACAAATTATAATACAGCATAACAATTACTCATAAAGAAACAGTGTTTATGAAAGCACATAGCTTACATGAACTATGCGGCATGGTGATACATACCTGAAATGCCAGCACTTGGGAGGTAGAGGCAGGAAGATGAGCAGTTCAAGGTCATTCTCAACATAGCGTTAGGTTATATGAAACCCTGTCTCAAAACAAAACAAAACTGAAGTAGGACTTTTGTGTAACTTTATTTATTTTTTGTCTTTTTTTTGAGACACGGACTCCTTGTAGCCCCAGCTGTCCTGGAACTCACTATGTAGACCAGGCTGGCCTCGAACTCACAAAGATCCACCTGTCTCTGCCTCCCAAGTGCTGGGATTAAAGGCGTGCGCCACCATGCCTGGCAACTTCTTTATTATTTGTTCCTTTCAGCATCTCTAAGCATTTTCAGACTTTCGATATACTCGAACTTCTAGATACTTTTGGTGCTAATAGTAAGGGATGGCCTTGACAAGTTTGATTTAGTACCCAATCTGAATCCTTTTTGGACTTGGTTCCCTCAATTTATAGTCTATGTTTCAACAAAGTGCCTAATTCAGTTTTCTGAAAGCCAATGGTTTCTCTTTCCTTTCTTTTAGGTATAAAAAATATCCATTAAGTAGTGGCTACAGTTCCACGCTGGTTTGGCTGCCATGCATCGTAAGAAAACTGTTAGAAAAGGGTCCTCCCCTACCACGAAGATTAACCAGCAACCTCCGAGGCTTCTTGTTGTGCATGTTGCTCTACCTTCCTGGGCTGAAATCTGCTCCAATCTCTGTGAGGCTTTGCAGAATTTTTTCTCGATAGCCTGCAGTTTGATGGGTCCCAGCCGCATGTCTCTGTTCAGTTTATATATAGTACAAAATCAACATGAGTGCATCCTCCCTTTTGTGGTAAGTTTGTCTATTCTTACTCACTGTATCCTGAAAGCAAAGATGAGATTTTTTTAAATAAATAATTTATTGAGAATTTCATACATGCATATAAGGTGTTTTGATCAAATCCATACCCACTCCCTCCCCTCCAACTCCTCCCATATCTCCCCATCACTTTTTTCTGATAACTTCTTTGATTTATTATTTTTATGGGGCTTTTGCTACTTTAACATTCCCCTTTCTGAAGAAGTAACCCTAAAATCTTTTTTGTTTGTTTTTTACTATTATTTTATGTGTATGTGTATATTGCCTGCATGTAGGTAAATGCACTTGTGTCATGCAATGCCCTGGAAGATCAGAAGAGGCTGTTGGATCCCCTGGGGCTGGAGTTACAGACAGTTGTTAGCTGCCATGTGGGTGCTGGAATTCAAACCCGGGTCTTCTGCACAACCAGTGTTCTTAACCACTGAGCCATCTCTCCAGCCCCAACCCTAAAATCTTTTAAGGATTAGATAAAACTCCCAAATATTTATGACATTTTTGGCCTTTGGAAGGGAGTAGATTGCTAAGAGGCCCAAGGACTTTGAGTTTTAGCCAAGAAACTGGCTACTTTTCTTTGGGGTCTTTTTACCATAACTACCTAGAGAATTCCTTCCTCCTATTCTTTTTTTTTTAAAATATTTTAATTATTATTATTATTTTATGTGTATGAGTGTATTGCCTGCATGTATGTGAGTGCACCTGTGTCGTGCAATGCTGCGGAGGTCAGAAGAGGGCTTCGGATTCCCCTAGAACTGGAGTTAAGGATGGTTAGTAGCCACCATGTGGGTGCCGAGAATCAAACCTGGATCCTCTGCAAGAGCAATCAGTGCTCTTAACCGCTGAGCCATCTCTCCAGCCCCCCTTCTTCCTATTCTTATCACACCATCCTCTGAAGAGGTTATCCAAATTGTCAGTAGGTAATTGGGATGCAGACCGCTCTGGCTTCTTCCATGCTGAACAGGGACACAAGGTGAGGCAATTGGAGTACCCCTTTGGTGGGTCTATGTAAAAGACTCCCAAATTGCATAACTCTTATCTCGAGGAGGAAAAGAAAGTCTTTGAATCATGAATAGGAGATGTGAAGGAGAAGTAATGGCAAGAGTAATTAGCATTACAAGCTCTAGACAGAGAAAAAAGTCAGAAGAGGGCAATTTAAACCACTTTACATCCCATTTTACCACTATTGCCTCTTCAGTGCTAATAAACAGATGCATCCAGGTCCATACCTTTACCGAGTTTATATTGTACTGATAGATTTAAAATGGTTATTCATCTATCTGTAGGTATGAAGGACTTAATACTTATTTGGTGCATTCTCACTACAAACAATGTCTTTGTTTATAAATGTTGCCTCAGGGTATCAATAAGAAAATAATAATGAGAAGGTTTAAGAAAAGATTGAGAGTTGGAAGGTCAAAGTTAGTAAGATTAAGATGGCTAGATATTTCCAGAAAGGAAGGAATAATAAGACTTTTAAGCAAGTTTGTTAAAGGTCTGAGTAAGTTTATAGAAGTAGAAGGCAGTTGCAGTTGTTACAGTAGTTAATGTTACAACAAAGAATTTTTTTTCAGTCTACTAAGGTCATTTGAGGATCTGTTCCTCAGGGATCACATGGGCTTGGGAGGAGCTCTTGGCTCCTTTCTTTTACCAGTTCCATTTATATGAAGATAAGTCAAAGGTCCTGCTCGACCATGTCTGGCTTCACTTGAAGCATGAATGAGATATTTCCTCTGAGTTGACCCTCCTCTTTGTAGACTGGGTAAGTCCATCTCATGGGGTCTCCATGGCCTCCCTGAACAAGAGGACAGGTGACTCACCACAGTAACGGGGTATTTTGAGAGATGTTCCATAGTCCCCTGGAACTTAGTCGACCTTGGAGGGTAAGGGACAAAAACTGTCCTTAAATCCCTCTGGCCAGATTAGTATAGGCCTCAAACTATGGCTGTTAAATATCCAATAAGGTTAGTTCCACCAACCTGGTACTTTTAATTATCATGTGCTATGTAGATAAGGTTTAGGACAAGAACCACATATTCTCAAATAAATATTAACTAAATTTATATTTTGTTCCTTAAACTAGACTAAACTATGACCATAGAAATTTTAAGATTATGTGTATATTATTTTTGTCTTTTGTCTCATCCTTTATATACCATAACAAACCTACACAGACCTTCATCACTTGCTTAGGCTTTCTCATTTTTTTCTATTTTGGAGAATATTTCCATTCCCATATCCTTTTAACATCTTTTACAGTCTCGTTTTCTTTTTTTTAAAATAACTATGAGACACAATAGCATTAACAAATAAATTTTCCATCTGTTGTGAGACTTCTTTTCCTGGGGATGCTAAGCAAAAAGATGAGATTTCTATAGCAAAGCTCACAGTTATTACTTACAATAAAAACCACACTATTTCCTCATATCCAATTAACCCACGTGAGCCAGAAGTTATGTGTGTATATGGGGCTCACACTGCAAAAGGGAAGTCCCTGAATTATTAATCTAGGAGTTAAAATAGCCTGCATGCCATCCCTTTCTGCTCCATAGAGAAGAGAAACCTTGGCATTTACAGTCTTTGAAATGTAAACATATTTAGTCTCTAAATCTCTTCAGAGTTCCCTGACTATTCACTCATTCTCTTTCATCTGAAACTTGTCCATTTCTTCCCAAATTTGTCCTGAGGTATGGGCGTGCGGGGATCTCGGGGCACCAGCTGCTGGGCGTGGCGCCGGTCTCCTGCATGCACCTGGGGGTGCAGCGGGTCCCACACCATGTCGCTGTGGGTCTCTGCTACCGGAGCTGGCGGCTCTAGGACCGCTGTCAGCTGCCTGGGTTCTGTTTCAATTTCCATCTTGCACTCTCCCTCTAAGTTCGAGACCTGTTGGCCACCAGGTCACGAGGGGAGGTGCGAAAGCAGGGTCTTCTTGAGTTGAAGGATAGCTTTCTTTCCCCCCCCCACCCCCCACTGGATCACAGGATTTTAGTGTTACAGCTTCAGACAAGTGACTCAGCTCAGATCTCAGTGATTCAGCTCCAGCTCCAACTTTATTGGGGTAAAACTAGGACTATTTATAGTGTGGAGACAGTAGAAGAAGTCTTAGCTGATAGGTACTTTTAGGATGCCTCATTTACATAGGGAGGTGGGCTTCTATCAGGCTATCAGACAATGCCTGATTAAAACCTGGTAGCTCCTGTGCCGGAGGGCATGTATCTTGTGACAGGCATTTCAAAAGTAAGTCAGGGAGGAGAGCAGAAAGCGCCCCGCTGAGAAGGGGAGTCTCCCCATTCGCGCCGAGCCAGCTTGTGGCTATCCGGACATGGGGAGACTGCTACCCTAAACAGCAGGGGTCCCCAACACTGAGGCAAAACTCAAGGTACTAATTTTTTTTGCTCAGAAAACCCTAACTGTAAAAACATGAAGATATTTTATCTGCCGGGTCTGGCAGCCCACATCTTTAACCCCAGCACTCAGGAGGCAGAGGCAAGTGGATCTCTGTGAGTTCACCAGCCTGGTCTACATAGTGAGTTCCAGGCCAGGTAGGGCTATAGGGAGACCTTGTCTCAAAAAAATGTATTTTATCTGTGTTCTACTCAGGTGAAATTTTAATTTCAGGTAAAAACACCACTTAAGGTTTTAGAAAGCAGTAGCAATATTTTCTCAAAGCTCTCTCATAAACATTTATTCTCCCTACTCCCCCCCCAAAAAAAATTCAAGTCTTCCCTTTCTCTTTTATATAAAGTTCAGATCACAGGGATGAGAAAGACTTCCACGGTTTCTATGCATCTTTAACCTTGATTCTGATATATCTTAGTCAATGGACATAAATTATGTCTTTAAGATAACCAAAGGAGAGAGGCATCTAAATTAAATGACACCATACATCCAATGGCCCTAACAGACACTACCAAATATTTCCACCCAAGCATCAAAGAATACACTTTCTATTCAGCACTCCATGGAACTCTTTTCAAAAATTGACCACATACTGGGGCACAAAACAAGCCTCAACAAATACCAAAAAAATTGAAATAATTCCATGCATTCTAGCAGACCACAATGCAATAAAGCTTAAAATCAACAACAGAAGAAGCCCTAGTAACTACATGAATTCATGGAGATTAAACAACATACTCCTGAATGATGAGTGTGTCAAAGGAGAAATTAAGAAAGAAAGCTGGGCATGGTGGCATACACCTTTAGTCCCAGCACTTGGGAGGCAGAGGCAGGCATGTCTCTGTGAGTTCAAGGCCAGCCTGACCTATATAGTGAGTTCCAGGCCAGCTGAGGCTACAGGAAGACCCTGTCTCAAAAAGACAAAAAAAAAAACAAAAACAAAAACAAAAACCCTCTGTGACACTTTAAAAGCTTTCTTAAGAGGGAAGTTTATAGCTCTAAGTGCCTTCATTAAAAAATCAGAAAGGGGCTGGAGAGAAGGCTCAGCAGTTAAGAACACTGGTTGTTCTTGCAGAAGACCCAGGTTCAAATCCCAGCACCCACATGGCAGCTAACAACTGTCCATAACTCCAATCCCAAGGGATCTGACAGCCTCTTCTGACCTCCGTGAGCATTGCACAACACAGGTGCACTTACCTACATGCAGGCAATACATGGATACACATAAAATAAAAATAATAATTTTTTTTAAATCAGAAAGAGCACAAATAAATTACTTAACATTCCAACTCAAGACTCTGGAAAGGCAAGAACAAATGAAACCCAAACCCAGGAGAAGAGAAGAAATAACAAAAATCAAAGCAGAAATTAATGAAGTAGAAACAAACAATACAAAGAATCAATGAATCTAAGAGCTGGTTCTTTGAAAAGCTAAACAAGTCCAGTTCACCAAAAGAAAGAAAGAGCAAACTGAAATCAACAAAATCAGAGAAAGGGGAAACATCACAACAGACAACCAAAAGATCCAGAACATTATAAGGGAATATTTTAAAAACCCATACTCTATTAAATTTGGAAGC